GTGCAAAGGTACTACCATGACTCCTAGAGGATTTGTTAGTAACATCTTGACCTTCAGCAAAGGTGAAATTCAGAAAGATATTTGGTGTTTAATTGCTGCTTCGGAATTCTTACATTTTATTGACAAAACTTTACCAGACTTTATAGGCAAAAACTGTAAGAAAGGTTCTTGTTATGGCTTATGGGCCTGTGTTCAATCTCCTTATGTTTTAATTACTGGAAATGTAAAAGTTAAAAGGAAATACTTAAATGTCACAGTAGATATAAGTATGTGTGTGTTACTTCTGCCAAATACAATGCTTCCCACTGGGATTGGGAGAAGATTAAAAAACATTTGTTGGGTATTTGGCAAAATAATAATAACCATTTGGATTTTTTGGAGCTACATCATCATATTCAAGATATACAAAAAAGTAAAATTGATTTTGATTTTTTGGATCCTACTTCTTTAGCTAATCAAATACTTAAAGAATTGAATGGCTTTAACCCTGGAGGCATTCTTAAAAATTTTGTATGGTATATCTCCATATTATTCTCTTTGCTACTAATTCTCTCTTGTATTGTAATTATAGGATGGCAAGGCTTCAAAACAAGAATTTAGGAACTCAAAATAGTGACCCATCAAAGAAAGATTGACCCTTTTCAAAGAAAGATAGGGGAATATGTAGGAAGCCACTCTGAGTGACTTGCACCTTTCATCCTGAAGCAAGAGGCTTTGTCCATCACTATAATTTGTAGTGATCTGGGCATTGTCCTGGTTAAGAAAGTTGAGGGTGTGTCTTCAGATGTAGGCTGAGTTTGGTGGAATTCAACCCTTAGGTTGAATTAAACTCACTTGCCCCTTTGTAACCCTGCCCCTTCTGGCCTTTTTTGGATGAAACTTTATAAGAATAAGGGTCCCCCCAATAAAAGCCCTCTTCCAAATGCTCACTCTCTCTTGTCAGCCTCTCATGACTTTCTCTTGCTCTTGCATTTGGGGAGCCTGAGGCTGAGGGTGGCGAAGCCACCCTGAAGTTTGTTTAAAGGTAAAGTATGTGTCTGTGTTTTATTTGATGTCCCTGGAAATTCACACAAGTGACTTTAAGTTCTGTTCCCCTCACAGGTTGGGGGCAGCAGACATTTCCATATTTGGCCKTGCCACATCAAAGTCTGAGAGAAATGGAAATAAAACTGCAGCTATAAACACATTTTACCAATTTTTATATCACAGATTCTTATAAAGTAACTGAAAAACAGATAAAACCAGAATACTCTGAATTTTCTGATTTTTTTTTAAAGAGAGAGTGAGAGAGGAGAGAGAGAGATAGAGAGAGAGAATTTTTTTTAATATTTATTTTTTTTTAGTTCTCGGTGGACACAACATCTTTGTTGGTATGTGGTGCTGAGGATCGAACCCGGGCCGCACGCTTGCCAGGCGAGCGYGCTACCGCTTGAGCCACATCCCCAGCCCTGAATTTTCTGATTTTAAAGGAAGGAGATATCAGTAATATTTTATAAATCAACAATGTTTTATCAGTAATATTTTGTGTATCTGAGCTTATATAATTTTCATATACAAGCATTGCCATGTTACCACTTTATTGTAAGACAGTAATGATCTTAAATTAAAAAATACTTAAAGATTACTAAAATATTATTTGTGGGACTTCACTGTAAATGGAATTGTTAAAAAACAAATGAACCAAAGCCATTTCCAAATTTTTTAAATAAGATTTTATTCAGCAAAATTAATGAATCAGCATTAGAAAATTGGAACACTGTAGTGATTTGTAATACTTGATGTTTAAAAGATAAAATACCTGAGGACTCAAATTACCAGAAATGTGAGTCAAGACAGTGTAGTATTTTCTAAATAAGTTGCATTTATTAAGAATAGCCTTACTTTTTAATTTTATTTTTACTTGTTTTAATTAACTATACATGATAGTAGAATGTATTTTGTTATATCATACATATATGGAGTATAACTTCTCATTCTCCTGGTTGTACATGATATAGAATTACACTGGTCATGTGATCATAAATGTACCTAGGGTAACAATAATTGATTCATTCTACTATCTTTTCTATTCCCATCCCCCTTCCTTACCCTATGTCAAATCCAAAGTACTTCTATTCTTTCATAACTCCCCCTCCCCACTATTGTGAATTAGCATCTGCATATCAAAGGAAAACATTTGGCCTTTGGTGTTTTGGCACTGGCTTATTTCACTTAGCATGATATTTTCCAGCTCCATCCACTTACCAGCAAATGCCATAATGGGTAATATTCCATCATGTATGTACACCACATTTTCTTCACCCATTCATCTGTTAAAGGTCACTTAAGTTGGTTCCATAGTTTACCTATTGTGAGTTGAGCTGCTATAAACATTGATGTGGCTGCATCACTGTCATATGGTGATTTTAGGTACTTTGGGTATAAATCAAGGAGTGGGATAGCTGAGTCAAACTGTGGTTCCATTCCAAGTTTTATGAGAAATCTCCATACTGCTTTCCATAATGGTTGCAGCAATTTGCATTCCCAACAGCAATGTATGAGTGTACATTTCCCCCCACATCCTTGTCAACATTTACTGTTGCTTGTATTCTTTTTTTGGGAAATTATCAGATTTTATTTAGAATGCAATATAATTTATTCTGGTAATGTTAATATGCACAGGTATAAAAATATTTGGTGCTATCCAAGAAAACTGCTTTTTAATGTATATAAAGTATATGCAAAATCTTTTAAACAGCCAATTTAATTTTCAAACTCAGAAGTGTGGTAACATTGTTGATGAAAATTGGAGTTTCCATTTCCGGTTTCATGATTCAGACAGTTTTGAGCTTATAAAGGTTTCAGTTTCACTTTCTGTTCTGGCAAGCTCCCACAGCTGAAATGAGAAATGACAGCTGAAAACTTTCTGACCCTATCTCCTATTCCTGTAAAATCGAGGGATTCACTGGCCTGGCCTTAGACTCCAGAGCTAATCAGACAGAGACTGGATTAACTTAGTTCACAGAGGTGCTACACAAATGTCTCTGAGGCTAAGTAAGACACAAGCTTCACTAAGAATTCCAATCATACCTGAAAAACCTTGATGTTACTTTCTGCTTATAGATTATAAGAATTAATTCCTGTTCTTTTGTAGTTCTCAAATTTAAGCAACACAATTGCTCTAAAATAAAATCATTCMTATTATTGCAGCATTATTAACAATCACTGACTGCTAATGCTATTTGTATTTCTTTTCTTCTGGGATGTTTGAACTTGRGCAATTTTTCTTCCTGTTCTATGCTCATAGTTGACCTATACCAAGGATTTCTGCTTTTGCTTGAAATTAATTGGTAGCAGAGAAAGTTTATATGTAAGCACCATCTATAATGAGCTTGAGATAGTTCATTTCTCTTTTCAGGTCCCTGCCACAAAAGTCAACCTGTACTCTGCTCTGTTCACCTAAATAGTCACTTTGCTTTTCAAAGCAGTGTGTATTATTTCTGGGCTGACAGTGTTCCAAACATCAATGAGATTTCTCACCATAACACGAATATGCCATATATTGTACCAAGTACATCTAGCATATAAGATTTGATTTATTATGTCTCAGCCTAATGGCTGCCTATAGCCATGATGCTGCCAGGCTTAAAAAGTCCACTTGTTTTAATTTAAACTTCCAAGGAGTGTGTATAGTTCATTTATCAATCAGTATAGAACATTCATACTCTATCAAGCTTTTCTAATTACAGGAGCCATACACCAAACAACTTGTCAGGTATCAGGGCATTTTCATATATACAGAAAAGGTCTGTTTGTAATAAAAATTTCCAATCTTCTTCTGATTCTAATTTCTTCCTACTCTCTGCACTCTAGCAAAGGAAGACTAATAGTCTATCTTCATATATTTCTCTTCTTCATGGCAACATTTCTCTGTCGGAGTGCATGGTTGGGTTGCATGCTATAGAACCTTACTAGATGTGTCCACATGGACATATTCAGAGCAGGCATCCCATTTTCAAGTTCATTCTCTATTGTAGATGCTTTACATTTTAGGAGTAGTGACACAATACTGTGATAGACAAAAATCACTGGTACCAGCCACAGAGACTTGGCATTAACCCCTATATGAAATGCAATTTCATTAGTTCTATCAGAAAATAAACAAAAATTTAGATATAAAAATATCTGCTTTGATTTGGTCAAATAGTTAAAGCATTAATTTACTAAGTTGGCACATTTAACTCCTCTCATTGTTAACAACTTTGCTTCCTTCATTTTTTAAAAAGTCTTCTCATGATTTTTAAGGAATGTAAGGAATCTCTACTTCTTTGACCATTTCACTTTAGTCTTTTCTTCCTTATTTACTAACTTGTAGGATGGAGGAAACTKTAGCCAATCTTTTCTCTTTAATACCACAATGGAACTCTCTGCATGAAGTGCAGCAGAAATGACATGTTGAAAAGAACATGAATATTCTAATAATGGCAAGACTGGGAAGATTGGCTTGATGAGAGAACCAGAAGTACAGTACTGATGAAGCAATGGATTTCTTTTTAAGTTAGAATAATAAAGATGATGTCAAATTTCAAAGAAAATGCTAATTTTAACCATTTTGGTAACTAATTAAAATATAATCTCTTTTTAATTAAGAAATCCTAATGTCTGAGGTAGATGATGCCATTATCATATATCAAATTAGGTTTCAGGTATAAAAATGATAACTAAGGGAAAGAAACCACTGATTTAAAATTATCTTCTTTTAAATTCATATAGATAATTAAGAATGCTTCCAATAAAGTGCCTAAACATAAAATCTGTGAATAACATGTCTGGGACTCACTTCTCTATTTAAAGATGAACTCAGCAGTTGGTAAAAAGATCCACATGCTAACAGAATRGCAATCCACAAAACAGCTGTACCCTTGAAAAATTCAGCTATTCTGCATTTGACATTTCCGTCTGGGCTCATTTTTAACTGTTTATGATGTGGATTTCTGAAGGTTTCTTCAGCATTTAACTAGTTATTTGTTGGTTGAAGGACCTGAGACTGTTTCTCCACACAGAAATTGATCTGTCATAAATCACTTTTATAATGAGAGAGCAGCCAGAACATGTTGCCACATCTTGCCCATTCTCCATATCTTCCTTGGTGATGGAAAAGTTATTCCCACAGGGGCAGGGGTAGAAATATGTTTTGGAGTCCTCATCATATTGGAAACCCTCAATCTCCACCGGAAAGACCATCATAGTTGTTGGGGTTGGCAAAGTGCTGATGTCCCAGCAGTCTGACAATGCCTCTGTTGGTCTAACTTCCCAATGCTGGCTGGGACCCAGAGTTGTTACCATGCACTTGTGCAGGAACTTCTGTTGCTTGTATTCTTGATAACTGCCATTCTGACTGAAGTGAGATAAAATCTTAGAGTAGTTTTGATTTTTCATTTCTCTAATTGCTAGATATAATTAACATTTTTTCATATATTTGCTGATTTGTATTTCTTCTTTTGTTAAGTGTCTGTTCAGTTCCTTAGCCCATTCATTGATTGATATATTTGTTTTATTGGTGTTTAGTGGGGGGGGCAATGGCAACTCTCATTGGAGAGTTTTTCTTCCTGTTTAGGAGGATGTAAGCCACCCTAAAACTTAAAGTCTCAAATAATTAGTGAATAACAAAACACAAATAGCCACAAGTATATTACAATAGTGAAGCCCCTGATAGATCTAGTCCACATGGGTGCTGGAACTAGATAAAAAAGATGGCTCCAGTGGTTTATTGAAGAGGATACATCAAAAGCAGGGATAAGTTTTCAAGAGTGGAGTCTTTCTTCATGATGTCTAGCAGTCAGCAGGTTGATTGGCATCTTCTCAGGTCACTCCCATCTCAGGTGCTGTGTGGATTTTTGGCAGAACTTGAGGGTGAAGTTCAYTTGCATCAGGCAATCAGTCCCTGTGAGGAGGTGTCCAAGGAAATTCCTAATGCTAGACTTATCCCTTCACTAGGTTACAATGCACAACATAGTCCACACACAGCTCACAGAGGGCTCATGACAGATGTTGAGTTTTTTGAGATATGTACATACCCTGGAGATTAATGCTGTATCTATGGTGCATGTGGTCCCATTCTGTATACTGTTTCTTCATGTTATTGATTGTTTCCTTGGCTGAGAAGAAAATTTTTAGTTGGAAATCATCCCATTTATTGATTCTCGATTTTACTTCTTGTGCTTTTAAAGAAGTCAGATCCTAAGCTGACATGGTGAAGATTGGCCTTACTTTTTCTTCTATTAGGTGCAGGGTCTCTGTTCTAGTGCCTATGTCCTTGATCCACTTTGAGTTGAGTTTTGTGCGGGGTGAGAGATATGGGTTTAATTTCATTTTGCTACATATGTGTTTTCAGTTTTCCCAGAACCATTTTCTTTGATGTATGTTTTTGACACCTTTGTCTAGTATGGGATAACCATATTTATTTGTCTTTTATTCTGTACTATTGATCTACGTGTCTTTTTTTGTTCCAATACCACTCCATTTTTGCTACTATAGGTCTGTAGTATAATTTAATGTCTGGTATTGTGATACCTTCAGCTTCACTTTTCTTGCTGTGGATTTCTTTGGCTATTCTGGGTCTCCAATTTTTCCAAATAACTTTTATGACTGAATTTTCTGTTTCTATGAAGAATGTAATTGGATTTTCTTTTTGGTGGGTGAGGGTACTGAAGATTGAACTCAGGGACACTCAACCACTGAGCCACATTCCCAGTCCCATTTTGTATTTTTTTTAAATTTAGACACAGGGTCTCACTGAATTTCTTACTGTTTTGCTGTTGTTGAGGCTGGCTTTGAACTCACAATCTTACTGTCTCAGCCTCTCGAGATTCTGGGATTACAGACTTGTGCCACCATGCCAAATGTTGTTGGAATTTTAATAGGAATTGCATTAAATCTGTATAACACTTTTGGTGGTTACATTTTGACAATGTTAATTTTACCTTCCAAAAGCATGGGAGATCTTTCCATATTCTAAATTATTTTGTTAGTGTTCTATAGTTTTTCATTGTAGAGTTTTTTTCACCTATTTTGTTAGATTGATTTCCAAGGATTTTATTTTATTTTATTTTTTTTGAGGCTACTATGAATGGGATAGTTATCCCAATTTCTCTTTCAGAGGATTCATCTTGATGTATAGGAACACAATTGATGGGGTATTTATTTTTATATCCTGCTACTTTTCTGAATAAATTTATTAGTTCTAGAAGTTTTCTGGCAGAATTTTTGGGTCTTCTAAATATAGAATGATTTCCTGGGGACGTAGGAATAGTTTGAGAATTTAATATTTATTTTTTAGGTGTAGATGAACACAACACAATGCCTTTATTTTTATGTGGTGCTGAGGATCGAACCTGGGTCCTGCCCATGCTAGGTGAGTGCTCTACCACTGAGCCACAATCCCAGCGATCTTTTTTTCTCTCTTTGTATCTCTTTAATTTCTTTAGTCTGTCTGATGCTCTAGCTAGAGTTTCCAGGGAGATGTTGAATAAAAGTGGTGAAAGAGGACATCTTTATCTTGTTACAGTTTTTAGAGAAACTGTTTTAAATTTTTCTTCATTTAGAATGATGTTGGCCATGCTTGGGCTTAGCATAGATAGCTTTTATAATGTTGAGGTATGTTCCTACTGTCTCTAGTTTTTCTCTTGTTTTAAATATGAATGGATGCTGTATTTTGTCAAATGCTGTTTCTACATAAATTGAGATGATCATATGATTCTTGTTTTAAGTCTATTAATATGAAGAATTACATCAATTGATTTATTACATTGAGCCAACTTGGCATCTCTGGGATGAATAACAAATTGATCAAGGTGCACTATCTTTTCTTGGGGGGGGGGGACAGGGGATTGAACTCAGGTGCACTTGGTCACTGAGCCATACCCAGGTCTATTTTGTATTTTATTTAAAGACAGGTTTTCACTGAGTTGCTTTGTGCCTCACTTTTGCTGAGGCTGGCTTTGAACTTGTGATCCTCCTGTCTCAGTCTCCAGATCTTCTAGGATTACAGGCAAATGCTACTCTACCTGGCTTATGGTACACTATCTTTTAAATATATTTTTGAATATGATTTGCCAGAATTATATTAGGATTTTTGCTTCATGTCCACAAGGGATATTGGTCTGACATTTTCTTTTCTTGATGTGTCTATGTCTGGTTTTGGTATCAATGTGTTACTAGTTTCATAGAATAAGTTTTAAAGGGTTCCATCCTTTTTTATTTAATGGAATAATTTGAGGAGTAGTGGTGTTAATTTTTCTTTGAGTTCTTGTAGAATTTAGCTGATAATCCATTTGGTCCTGGGCTTTTCTTTGTTGGTAGGCTATTGAGGTTTTCTTCTAATTCATTCCTTGTAATTGATCTGTTTAATTTAAGTATGTCTTCATGATTCAATTTGGGTAGGTCATATGTCCCTAGACATTTGTTGATGTCTTCATGATTTTCTATTTCATTGAAGTATAAATTTTCAAAAAATGTTCTAATTATCATTTGTACCTCAGCAGTGTTCATCATGATATTTTCTTTTTAATCACAAATTTTAGTAATTTGAATTGTGTCTCTCTTTCCTCTTCATTAATGTGGGTAATGGTTTATCAATTTATTTTTTCAACAAACCAACTTTTTGTTTTGTCAAGATTTTGAATTGCTTCTTTTGTTTCAATTTTGTGGATTTTAATTATTTCCTGTCTTCTACTGCTTTTGATTTTGATTTTTCTTCTTTTCTCTGATTTTAATTATTTTCTTCTTCTACTGCTTTTGATTTTGATTTGTTCTTCTTTTCCTAGGGCTTTGAGATGTCATGTTATGTTATTTATGTGTTGACTTTTTATTATTTTAAGAAATGAGCTCAATGCAATGAAATTTCCTCTCAGCACTGACTTCATAGTGTCACAGAGATTTTATATGTTGCATGACTGTTCTCTTATGTTATGAATTCTTTATTCAATATAGTATTATTTAGTCTCTAACAGTTAGAATAGCTTCTATTTTTATTCTATTATTGATTTATAATTTCATTTTATTTTGATCTGATAAGATGCAGGGTACTATATCTATTTTTTGTATTTGCTGAGTTGCTTTATGGCATAAGCCATGGTCTATTTTAGAGAAGGATCCATGTGCTGTTGAAAAGAAAGTGTAATCACTCATTGATGGACACAGTATTCCCTATTTGTTAAGTCTAAATTATTGATCATATTAATTAGTTGTAGAATTTCTTTGATTAATTTTTGTTTTGAAGATCTATCCAGTTGTGAGATAGGTATGTTAAGTTGCCCAGTATTATTGGTCTATTTGATTCTTGAAGTTGAGAAGGGTTTACTGATATGCATAGATGCTCATTGTTTGGGGCATAAATATTTATGATTGTTTTGTTTGTGTATATATAATTCCTTTGTCAGTATAAATTTTTTTCTTTGTCCCTTTTGATTAACTTTGGCTTGAAGTCCACTTCATGTGATATGAGGATAGAAAACACTGCTTATTTACTCTATCCATGTAAGTGATATATTTTTTCCCAGCCATTCAGCTTGAGTCTGTAAATGTCTTTGCTTATGAAGTAAACCTCTTGGAGACAGCATATAGTTGGGTCTTGTTTTTTAATCTAATCTGCCAGCTTATGTCTTTTAATTGATGAGTGTAGGCTATTAATATTCAAGGTTAGTATTGACATATAATTTGTATTCCCAATCATTTTGGTTAATTTCTGGTTTTTAATTTGACTTAGTTCCTCCTTTGACTATTCCTTTAGTATTGATCTTCTCTTTGCTGGTTTCACTTTTTTCCACTTTATTCTCATGAAATTTTTTGTTAAGGATGTTCTGTAGTGTGGGCTTTCCAGTAGTGAATTCTTTTAACTTTTGTTTATCATGAAGGTTTTAATTTTATATTCAAATCTAAAACTTAATTTGGCTGGATATAAAATTCTTGGTTGGCATGCATTTTCTTTCAGGGGTTGAAATATATTATTCCAGGACCTCCTAGCTTTGAGGGTAGGGTTGAGAGATCATTTGAGATCTGAATTTTTTCCCCTATATGTAATTTGTTTTTTTCCCCCTCTCATGGCCTTTAAGATTTCATCTATTCTCTGTGTTAGTCATTTTCATTATAATGTGTCTTGGTGTGGGTCTGTAATTTTGGACATTTGAGGTTCTGTGAGCCATTTGTATTTTTTCCATTTCACTGTTTAGGTTTTGGCAATTTTCTGA